TTTAGATTCTGTCGAAATATTGAAAGAGATAATTATAGTTCCGAAAATAGCAAAAAAAAACATAACTTTCGAACATAAAGTGTTTATTTTAGCAAAAAAAAAATTATTGCTCGGTTATTTTTAATGATTTGTCACAATTTAATTAAATGACAGCCCATAGCAAGCCCCAGCAAACACCTGAAGACATCCTAATTAGACATAAATTCAGAGTRTCGAAGTGTATGTAGATTAGAGCATAATCTACCCACTGAAATGTTCAGAATATCAAAACAGGTGTTTTCTTTGACAACAATCKGAAAAAAATCGAAATAATGTATTTGACCTTGTCCTGTCAAAATTTATATAATCTTTTACATAAAAATAAAACCTATGACWAAAATTRTAAACCAAACCAAAACGCTGAGCAAAGAAGGGATTAATTCCTCCTTTGGGTCCACTAATGTTTCCAGTTATGTGAAATATAATCCCGTTTTATAAACCTGATGGGGCAAGGTATAAAAACACGGACCGTTCACTCCCTTAATCGAATCTCTTACATAACGGGGGTGCAGCCTGTCATTGCATTTACCTGCATACCAGACACCCCTCTCGTCGCGCCACACGAGAAGTTTTTTAAAATCTAAGAGGACAAAGACAAGGTAGAACCTCGACAATTATCGTTGTCCAAATGTTAATATTTATTTTGTGTTACCATAAAACAAGAAAAAGGAAGCCTGCTATTATTTTTCTAATTTAAAGTGAACGAATGCAGTGCAGGTGCGATTTTATCTTTCAGGTAGGGACGTTCAATTTGAACTTTACCTGACGTCAGGTTGCGTCAGATCGGACTAATGAAACGTCTTTTCACTATTAATCTATCGGAAGGAACATTTGCCGTTAAAAGAATGCAGTTGAAGATAAAATCTGAAGAATGGCTAAAACGTAAACGATTTAATATGAATTTAAATTGTAATAAAACTGAAAACACAACACGCATAAAGACAAAACTTTTCTTATACAGAGAAGGAATAAAGTCAGATGTCATAAAATAATATTTGGAAATATCTTTTTTATTGAGCTATCACGGTCAAGAAACAATACAATAATAGAGATTCCTCTTTTTATGGGTTCAGCTTTGTACTTTACTATTTCAATAAATTAGTTATAAAAGTTTCGGCCGTATTATTTATTTATTATTAAGCAGTTATGTACCACTACCACTATTGCAAGAATTATAAATCCATCCGTGAATGTTGGAGGTGACAAAACGTTTTCGTGTTCTTATCCAAACAGCACCAGAAAGATTAATTATTGCATGATGCTTCATCATTAATCCCGCTTCAGAAACGCCATATAGTTACGCTTGAATAAAAGTAAGGTTTGTTAAAAATTTACATTAAAGATAAAGCTGGTATTTGACTTGAGGATCTTAAAAAATGACAACACGCATGAACATCTATAATTATAATTATTATTCCTCGAAGGAAACATATAAATACGTCGTTGGAAAATTTTCCAACAACTATAGTAAATCAGTACTTACCCACGTTTCAATTACCATAAACATATGTAACTGTGATGTGGGAGGTTATTATAATTTTTTTAAAGCTGTTAAACTTTAAAATTGTATTTTCGGAACCTTTGTCTAAATCATCTGATATTTTTAATTGGAATTACTCTGTAAAATGTAATATTCTAACGTCAATCTTATGCAGTAAATGGTCAATAAAAGAAAAAAATCTCTTAAGAAAATCACTTTCTGTTATTTACAATATATTCACATCAAAACTATTAATAATAAGCCAACAGGTACGTGCAGAACTTTCACATTAACACATAATAATGCAAATGGATTAATGTGAGTATCACGAAGTTTTCTAGAAACTTGCTTAAAATTTGCCATATATCAAAAATTTATTCGTTGTTTCGTCGCTTACATGTGGAATGTTTTGTGTCTGACATGCTTCGGAACATTCCGTTCATAAATTCGGGTTTTTGCCTAAAAAATTGTCAAATGATTTCTATACTTTCATTGACTATTTTTGAAATAGCTTTATCATTTTTCACATGTAAAGGTCAACTTAATTTAAAATGCAAATTTTTACAATTAGAACAAGCAAGTAACTAATATTTTACAAGAACCATTCTGTGTAACTGTGAAAAGCTGTTGTTGCCAATTATAACTGTAACTTATGTACTTTTGTTGCTAATCAGGATTTAAATTTAAATAAGAAGAGTGTTGAAAATATTTATATAAATTGTTTCGTCTAAATGTGACACATTTTTGGAAGAAAGCGGTTGTCGTATTTGTCTTTGAACATGGAGAGTAAGTTGTTTAGATGAATACAAACCAGTAATAARTCCGATCAAAAAAGATTCGTTATATTTAGAACGGATAAGAAACACGTGCGTATGCCACCAAAATGTTATTTTCGAGACAAAGTGACTTTACATGAAAAGAAAGCAACTGTTTACCCACAACATGTAAGTAATACTGTCAATTAAGTCAGAATATTTTTAGGTCAAAACCGGAAATATGGACATACCTACATTGTATGTTTACAAAAAATGTAATAAATATAAAAATATAATAAATTCTTGATTAAATACCTACTGCTGAAATTATCTTGGTGTAAACCATTGGTTTATCATTAATTAAAATTATCGTGGTTGCAGCAATATTAACTCTATTTTGTAAAACGGAAATATTGTTATTTGGTAGTGCGTCCAAGGTCTAGATATTTATTCCGGAAACGTAAGATCCCCTTATCAATTTTGGCATACATGAACATTGTGTGAGGCATTTTTCTGATAAGCATATTTTGGCAATATTTTTCTACAATTATTGTAGTCACGCTATTATTCAGGAATTGATAAGCTTACGTGAAGTGGTACAAAATTTGAATAACGTGCGATCTTAAAAACTAATAAATTCACGAAAATTTTCATTTTTCAGGAAAAAATTATTAATTATAGAAAGATTGAACTCAATTCGACAGTGGGAGGAAAAATATCTTATGCCACGCTAAGAAATACTTGGCGACGAATAAAACAAATTTACGACAGGAAACATTAATCTGCAAAAATATATTTTTAAGCTAAATAAAACCTGAAATTTCCGTGCACTTGAGAGACCAATGCTTGACAAGTAAGTAGAAAAATGAAAAAATAACGATGTAAAATGAGATCATTAAATTAGAAGAATATGGCAGAAGGCGTCATAATTCTTCGATTTAATCAAAGCATTTCCAGCTGCATTTGTATCTATATTTATTTCTTTTACCCAATAACAAATCTTTGTCTTGGTTTACCTGAAGTTTAAAATAGTGTAATGTCAGAATGATATATAAATATAAAAACACACACAATGTAATTTAATATTCCGTTATATAGCTCGTTTGAGTTTTAATCAAGTGGAATTTTCTTCCTTTTACATTCAGGAACTTCCTCCATAATAAAAATATTTTAGTTGGGATTTTGCTAAAACAGTTACTCTGTTACATTCCTCGTCAAATATTAACAATAATTTATTCAAATTAAAATAAACGGCATGTTTCAGTTTACAGTGTAATTGTAAACATTAATGGAATAGCATTTCATGAAGGTATGACTGTATCAGTATGTCATAAATTTTACTAATGTGTCATAATGAATTATTTTTCTTTGTAGTCGCCCATGTTATCAAAATTTTAAATCATAAATTTTCAAAATTCGATACCTGTCTCAAATTTTTAAACTTATGACCTTTTCAGAATTTTGATTTATTTGTACTTCCATCAACACGCCAATAAAAGCTTATTTTCATTCAAACATCACTAATATTTTCTCTTTCGTGTCTTAGAAAACAAACTAATAAGTTAGAAAATGATTTGTGATATCAGTGGTGTAATTAAAAAAAGATATTAACATAAACTTTACCAAAGACGTACGGTCTGCTTTTTTAATGTTTTTCCGTATCAAACTAACACTTTTTCCCATCGTAACATAAATGATGAAGTTAGACAACCACACCTCTTAATAATGAATAGATTAACACTATGTGGTACAAATTACACAGTTCTAATTAATCATCGAACTGAAAAGGAAAAAAAGAGCAACAGGACTTGAAACTATGATTTATTTTCATCGATCGAGAAATATGAACAAAACTCTAGCACGAGACGATTTTTGATTTTTTACAAATCAGGCCATCAGCAAATTAAACCACTTTTCGACAATATCAAAAAGTATTAAATATAGCACTACACAAAATTTCTGACAGGTTGAAAATTATAACAGATCGATAGATATTCTGCAATATATCTTTCGACTATGGTGTGACAAGAGCCCGTAGCAATTTGTCATAAATTACTATAATCTAATTTTAAGGTTATTTTAATTGAATTACAACCTCAAAAGCAATCGACATAAAATGATTAATATAATGTCAGGACATTTTGTAATAAGATATCTAACGGAACTTTACGACTTTGGTTAATTATCGCGATTTTTGAAACTCAAAATTGTTGATGTTTAAATTTGTATCCTTGATACAGTTTGAAGCTTGTAATTAGTAATACATTATCCTCCCACGTTTAAAAAATTAAATTTAACTTCAAGTCATTTGAAAAGAATGTGTAGATAAGTATAGGTAGAGAAAATCGATTAATTATTGGAATGTGTGGTTGTGAACTAGATTTGTTGTTACAGACAACAAAGAGGATAAAAATTGTTTAGATAATCTGTGAACGGTATGGAAAATTGTCTGGAGGCACTTGATTCAATTCAGCTTTCATTGTTTTGTTCGAATTTCGAAGTCCTATAATTATATCGGATATGGTAATGAAGCAATTTGATTTTGCTGTTATTATCCTACATGTTATGATACCTGGAACAAATAGTTTATTTACAAAGCTTGAGGGAGTGCCAGTAAGCAATCAAGTGAAGTCGTTGCAACCAAATTAAGTGTAGGCGCTGCCATAACCATCTGATTGTTAATCCAGCTATCATTAAATGTGTAATCGCGATTGTAATTGACTCACCTGTGCAGCAAGGTGAGGGGTGATTGTCCCCTGGCAGTCTACAATAGTAGGAGGTTGGCGAGATGTCATGGCCCGTCTTAGACCATGTTTTTCCTGGTTTGATCTACACGATCATCCTTCACATCAACCAGAATCGAAAGCACAAACTTTTAAAACGTTTTTATTGTTCACGATAGGTGAACGACATCGTTTTATTGCATATCGCGCTTTTCACCAAGGACGCGATCTTGCCCAAATATTTTCATAGGAATCGCCAGGATTGACCTATATTCGCACTRACCGCTCTTGGTCAAGGAAAAGCCCCAAACCGGCACCGAAGGCGTACTTACAGYCTCTCAAAGCTCATTTCTAGTGCATTTCAAGCATCAGCTGTGCTATTGAACTACTGTTATCAGAGAAAAAATCAGATAATATCTAGGTGTATCAAGGCCCGGCCACAACTAACGAAAGCTCCTCTGCGCGTTTTTCCACAAAGCACCACTCCGGACGAACTCGGTTCTTCTCAGTCTCGATATATGCACGAAATCAATGTATTTTTTTTGTAAATATCGTAAATAAGTTGCACAGCACCCCGCATGAAGAAATGTCAATCAGTACACCACCTGCGACTTCGTGGAATTTCGCGAATTTCCGGACGACGCCGTGTCTTTGAACGACGCTTACGTCAGCAGCGTCTGTTTATCGATTCACGGGATTGTGCCAGGGCAGCTTCGTTTCCCATACATGTGAAAAAAGGACGTCAGTATTCGCGAAAAGTGTGCCGGAAAAAGATGACACCACGATGACCTTGTTTGAGGGTATGTTTTTTCGGCCTATATCTCAGAGATAAGTCAGTTTATTTTTGCGAGGAATGAGATATAGCTGGATTCAGGCGCCACATGAACTGGGGAATGAGACGAGGATTTTTTCAAAAGACACGGTGGTTGAAATTTTTTACTAGTTACAACGAGAAATTTAAATTGCAGTGGAAAAAGTGCTGGAAACGCGCGATCATCAATTTCCTTCGTCAGTCTTTGAAAATAAATCTTTTAATTCCTGGGGTGCTAAGTGAATGCAAGGGCGGTAATTTTCTTCACCATCAAACCMGAATATAGACTTTAAATTAACATAGGAGGGATTCCCCCATCAATTATTCTCTCGCCAATGWTCTTGAAGAAGTTTCGAATATTCTTTTTTATGCAATTTGAAATATACCTAAACATACCTCTTTTTTAGTTTCCTCCAATTTACTTACAATTTTTTTAGGTGACTTGGGACTTTAGATAAGTGCAAGTAGGTAGGTATATTGTAAAGGTAATATTAAATACAGCCGTGAGTTATTTAGAATGTCTATTTAAATGTTATGTGAAGAGATTTCAAGTGTTTATTTCTAACGTGAGAACTGGTTAAGAACTGTCATGTATAACATCGACTTATTATTTCTTCTTTCTTATAGTACCACTAGAAATTTTTTGTCGAGTTGCTAACTAAAAGGGACCAAATCATTAAATTCTTATTATGTGATTTGCATGCATAATATGCGCAAAATTAAAAATAATTTTTGTTTAGTCATTGTATAGCAACATTTAATAACGTTAATCACTTTGGTTACATTTAACATAACTTACTTGTACAGTAATACAAAAAAAAATCACCCGATTTAGTGTAAAAAAAACGATTTTGTTATTTCCTTATGGAATTGTAAGACCAAATTATAAATTTAGTGTTTAATCAAAATGTGATAAAAATGGGTTACATTTGATTGTTCTTATTTATTTTTTTGACGGCGATTAGAAGCAAACAAAGTAAATATTTGTCTTCAAAGAGCATAAATGTTAGCATTCATATTTTAAAGAGCAAAATTACCATTTGTGTATTTGCTGTAGGCTAGCTCTTTGTTGTTGTATTCTTATCATGCATATAGAAGCTAGWAATAAACATATCGCTTTGAGCACAATAATAATAATATTATTTCGTGGTCTATGCAATATTGTTTAAATTTATTCATAAGACCCTTTTGTTGTTTTCTTGTACCTGAAATAGTTTAAATAAATTTACCGCGTGTTGACCTGCGATATGCAGTTGTTTATTGTTTCTCGTTTACTAAATATAACTGTTGTATCACTGTATCTCWTTTTCCTTGAGTCCATTTCGGAGAAAAATAAATCTAAAATGTGGAGAATCGCGCCGAGCGAAAATAAATGTCTTATGTATTATTAATTTAAGCGGTTAAAGTTCCTTAACTTTGTTTGAAGTTAGTCAAGTTTAAATATAACCCGAGTGTAAAAATGCGAAACGGCCATGTTCTGGCGCTATATGTGAATTATAATCTCGATCAAAATAGAATTTTGGAAAGTTTGAGAGAGCATTATGTATGCTTTAAAGGGTTGAATGTTGCTTTTATGATAATAGGGATGTCGGTCTAAGCTCAGTAATGCCGAAGCAGTAAACAAAACGTGCCAAATTCGTAACAGTTTATCGCTCTCAAGTTCCCGGCACTAAACAGATATTTGCGATAGCAATTTGTAAATTTATCGTCCAAATTATTGTGTTTTCCATGTTTATCCAGTTTTCATGTGTGACAATAAATCTTCCCGGAACGAAAAAAGGGAGAGTCGAACCAGCGATGAAAATCTCCGACAATCACACTTAATTTGTTTAATTTACTATGACAATTTTGGTACATTTTTTTAGCAATTTTTTATATCTGTTTCAATTATATTTCAATTAGTTGGAATATGTATGGAAGACAATTACTTTATTTACAAATTATACAATGTTGTTTTATGCAAAATATGAAATAATGTTGATAATGCAACGTGGGAACTAGAAAATTACACGGGCCTCTATATAGGGTTGTACTTCAACCCACGCATTGAAGCCTCCAGCACTTGGCGAAAAAGTTTCTTTTTATACTTTTTGCTTATTTATGTATTGCACCATCCAGAAATAAGAAAAAATGTGATTGTGTTTCATTTTGTCTTAAAATTCAATATTCACGAAAGTGAATTCAATAAATCCATTTAGAATCACGATTTTTGTTTACCACAGTGTTTAGAAAAATCGCCATACCTATTTAATAGTCTTCTTATTAACATTGTTTAGTTGTTTAGTACTCTTTTTATTTACCGCAAAACTTGTTTAAGTTATAAGTGTCCTTATAAAGAAGTGTAATGTAATAGGAGTAATTGAATTACTAAATCACTGATGAAAGTTTATATAAAATTTGTTTTTGGTTAAAACGGAATACTCTTTTGAGAAATGATGCTTGCTCTAGTGTAAACCCTATTTTATGGCCACGTTTCAAGAAAAGTCGGCGTTGAAGAAATCTCGAACAATGAAAAACTTTTAATGCGTTTGTTTTCTTCGTTTTTGCCTTTAGCGTGGACCAGATAACATTTCGAACGCTGCTGAACATGAGTTATAATAAATATCAACAATGCGGGTATTTACATTGCAGTGCTTCATAAATACATTATGTAATATAAACACAATCCACAGAAGGGCAACTTAGGAGGCATAAATATTGAGGAGTTTCTTTGAAAATGTAAACAATTCATTGAATGATCGCAACGTTGGGAGCTTTCACGCATACGGTCGATGTATATTTAGGTGAGAGCCGGCGTAATATCGTAACCGTTGAACAAAACACCCACCTTAGCTTTTGTAGGTTTTCAGGGCTATAAGGATAAGCGAGGAGAGAATTTATTTGGTCTTTGCCCTGTAATAATCGGATAAGGGATTTCATTTATTAAGTAATCGATTACCTATAATCCATACAGACTTATTGGGGCGTTAATTATTGACATTTGACCGTTTCACCAAGCTTAACTAGCAACTTACTTTGGGTAAATATTTGATGTATTATCAAAAAGAAATAACCGAGCCGAGCTCTTAAATAGAAATGCGAAACGCTAGATTAAACTGAATCATGCTGTTATCCTGCAGAACTCCGTAAGCCTATTAAAGCTGGGGCTGCAACCTCCAATTATCTGAAAAACTCAAGAATAGATTAAGCCAATGCTGAAAAACCGCAGGATATAGGCGGAAGGAAGAATGTCAACTGAGATAATTGACATTGTCTGCATTCCGGATCAAGTGTCTGTATATTCGTGTTTTTACGATTATGTCAACTTAAAACTCGGAATAATAATCCAAGTTTATTGAGCCAAATTGTGCCAAATCAAATTAAGTAAAGATAAAAAGAGAGTCACGTATCGTTAAAACACTCCAATAACTTTCTTTGGCTCCCTCGGATTATTTTTTGCTTCATATAATATCAACATAAATCAAAGTAAATTTTGTTTTTCCAATTTTATTACCAATTCAAATCAAGTAACTAGATCATAATTCATGTAGTTTGCTTGAAATTCAAAGGGGCTCTCTCCGAGAGCTTCCATCGATTATTTGGACGAATTTTAAAGCAGTTTGCGGTTTTAGCGAGACTTTAGAGCACTTGTTAATTTATTTATAATTCGAAATTGTCACTTTTATCTAGGACCACCTAGGCGATGATAACAAGGGTTTAATTTCTTTACGCTCTGCTCMACCAAAAATTGGCACGATGCTGAAACTAATTAATTCAAAACATCGTTTCAGGCCTCTAGTTACAATAGATCGTTAAATTAATTTCCCAGTTATTCCGAAACTAGCAATTGAAGATATTGAACGACACCTCACTTATTAAACAAATCCTGGTGTCAAATATATAGAATCCTTTTGACAACTCAAACATTATTTCCCCTTTCGAATATTTAACTTGCTGAGTTCCCGAATTTTAAGTTTGCTCGATACATTAATTGTTATTAATAATATCATCTAAACAAAATAATGACTTTTGACTTTACACGATTATTATATTTCATAAACGCAAACAAAACTATATTTATCTTGCAGCATAACTAACAACGTGGTTAGATAAAGGTACATATATACATTTCATCTCCAGATACACYAGCCTCCGGATAAAGAACTGACATATATCTATCTGCTTCACTCTGCTATGTTAAAAATTCACTCTCGTAATGTGAAGTTATTTGACATTTGCCTATACGAAAACAGATTCTTATTCTAAGCCACGACTGATCAAACTTAATTAAGCAATTTGCAATAAAATTGTCTCTTTTTAATAAAGAGAAACTCCAAACAGGTTTAAACTATTGTTTTGATTTCTTGGTGGCAATGAAAACATCATATTTTGACTTATGGTAGTTGATTATGTGATGTATAATATTATTAATTTGAGTGGGGTGTTTGAGGCGATGAGGGAATGTTATTTGCCTTGCAATCGGATCAAAAAACTTGACGCAAAAGATGCAAGAAAAAAATGGTATTGTGTTGACTTTCCAATCAATATATTTATAAATATTAATTAATTAAACACGTATTTTTACTTTTTATTATTGTAGGTATCGTTATGTTGCTAAGATAAATGTTTTCAAATTAAATGAGAAAAACAATCGAATAAACAAATTTTTACCTTTTTTCTTCTTTTATAAGAAACAAGAGAGTGTACTTTATATTTTTTTTTGAGGTGCTGAATGCTAATTTGAAACCATTTTTTATTTCTATTCTAAATATTGAAAGAAAATCGCACTTAAAGTTCTAAAAGTGGCTCTTTTTAGCAGGTTTATTCCAATTAAAAAAAATCAGAAGTACTCAAAAGAACTTGTTTGTTTCTATCGGTTCTAATTTTTTGTATAATCACGTTTTTTCAAGTATGTACCACATTACGAAAATTTGAACTGTCTGGAGTTGATCTTTTTTCTAAATGAAAATATACCAGTAAAACACTTGAAAACAGCTAAAAAAAATTTCAATTTCAAGCAAATTTTTCTAAAAATTTCTTAAATGAAAATAGGCATCAAGTTTGTATTCAGCATTTTAAAAAAGCATAATGTTGTACACCCCGTTTTAAAGTATAAGGATTTTGTTGTTTGGTGTTTCACAGTATTATTATTAAAAGTACAAATAAAAATAAAAATATAATATAAAGTAATAAATAAAAGTAGTTCAAAGGAAATTAATAAAAATAGTAGTCTTTTTAAATAATAATCTATTACATTCCAAAGGTTTTGGCAAGACGGGTATGATAAAATGATAAAATTGTTTTCAAAGTACATATATTTTTAAAAGTGAAATGTTTTCTATTACAGAAAAGTATAGTAGCATAAGAGTAAAGAATTTTTTTGCTTTCTTAAAATACATAATATAATAATTACAACAATTTAATTTAATCCTATAAAAATTTTAAGTAGTTGAACAAAGCGTATAGATGACAAACACAAATAGAGTTAATTAAAGTGGGAAGTTGATGACTTATTTGTTCTTTTTGGGAGTAAATCTCTTTGGCGCTATTTACACTTGTCTAGAGCAAAGCTAACTCCTGGAGTCAACAATAATTTATTAAATCTCTTCCCCTTAGATCTTTTAATCCCCGGCTTCGACAAACCGCTTGCATTCTGCGGTGGCGCTCTCTGTCGTTATTGTCGCATAATATCTGAACATAATTGCATGGCAATTGAAGTGTGTTGAAGATAGGGCAGCGTTCTGTGAAGAGCTCCGAGTCGTAACCCCCGGAAACGCAAAACGTTTCGCGGAGTCAATTTTGCAACCATAATGAAATTAGAAGGGCGATAAATACACGGATGAAAAATGAATGGGGCCTTTGAAGTTGGTCAGAAAGGAATGACCGGAATTAACGTGAATCAAAGGTCGTTTTTTGTGATGACTGAAGAATTGCAAGAAAGGGGTGTAAATGTAAACATTTGATATTTTGTGTTTGAGAGCATTTTATTGGATATAAAAATTGTTTTCGTGCACCTGGTAAGACCATTTTGAACACACGGTGAATTCGCTATTATAAAAAATAAAAGAGGGATTATTTACGTAAGCAGCGGCCGGAGCAAAAGAACCCTTAAGCCCCTCTGCGATAAAGGTAAAGCCTGCGCCGTAACGTAAGCCCTAATACACTTTTAACGCAACATTACAATAAAAAGTACCCGCGTATTGATTGCACCTAGATGAGATTTTTATACTTTATGGCGTCATAAAAAGTCATTTCAAAATGGCGTCCATCTTATTTTTATGAGTTGCCGGTTTCCCTTTTCCTTCACCTTGGAAGCAGCAATATGTAAGGGACATACATCAGCAATTTCATTTCGGCGCTACGTCGCCGAAAGTTTGTTTACTCGGCTCGGTTCGGCTTGGGGGCTGCAACGAGGACGTAGGTCGGGGATGGAGCCAGAAGGCCGTATATACCCTAGCAACTACTGCAAGTATATATTAGGTACGCTCTCCCAAAATCGATATGGTTTGTTTTGCGCGGGGGCAAGAGGGACAAGTAAGGGCGGAAGAGAAATACGCGCAAAGACGGGGTGCGGGGCGAATGCGTATGGTACGCCATGTTACGAATTGAACGCCACAAAAAACATTTTACACATGAACATTGCAGCAGTGTTTAGTCAATACGGCAATGAGCARCGTGAAATTCTCCCAAACAAAATAACAAAATGTGTTTTCGTATACGAAGATGTGCCACGCACCAACCACTCTACCCTCGCAAGTGAGTAATAATTACGCCTTTAAATGTTGCTTAAATCGCCCCTTGCGCATGCCAAAAAACTAAGCTAATTACAATTTTCGGCGGACACTCTTGCCAAATTCGCGCTAGGATTTGYCTGCCCTGTTTGTGACAAATGGGAAGGGATGTGGGATGTCGTGGGGGAAGAGGAAGGAGATGCACACGGAAATATGCGAACTACCGTTCGCACATTTACACGCACCGGAAATAAATTTTTCAATTTGAATAAAGGTAGAGTCCGCATACGTTAAGGACGATTTTTGAATTTAGATATAACACATGCGTGCATCAAAAACACAAATTCTGAATATCACGTTACATAAACAACACGAATTTACTAATAATTGCTCGAATTCCTCGAAATTTTTCGTCGGTTTGTTCCAAGGAAAAATCTCCTGTGCATCATGTATATGTCAACGAAAGCGTGAATGATGGACTGACTGAAAGCCGCATCGTTTTCTTATAAATGTCAACTACCATTAATTAATATGTTGCAAATGTAACGCGAGTAAACAAAACGCTTGTACCTAAAGTTGTCTTTACTAATTAATGTTTTGATTAATTACCGGCCAGGTTATTAGAATTTTTAAACTTAGTAAAGTCATAAGGTAATAATATTTTCCAACAGATGTAAACTGCCCAAATGTTGGCTAGTGGCTAATCCTCGGATTAAGACTTGACTTGACTTCAGGTCGAAATTCTTTCTTGAAAAATTTAGGGCAAGTCGAAAAGGTCCAAGCAGCAAACAATGTCGCACAAAAGTAAACAATAGCGAAACCAGCCAAACTCGATACAGCCATTTAAATTTTTTCTTGACATGCTTAGGGGAGGCCAACACAATGCAGTCCGCGGTCAGTTGCAAATTGCAAAGTTGCAAGTTTTCCATGTTTCCTACTCGAATATCTTCTTCAAACCGCTACTAATAAAGAAATAAATTAACTCGCAGCATGTCCTGGTCACCATAATCCTGTTTTTTTTAACCAATTTTATAGATCAAGAGTCATCATAACCACTTGATTATTGACGTCAWATATCCTTAATTTATATTCATTCCTCAAAATCCAAATTTTAATACGTTAAAAATATGTAGACAATATTTCGTTAACTTGAATCATTACATTGATTTCGTGTGACGTTGATTACGCAATTTCTATTTGATTGGTTATTTCTAATTCTGTAAAACAAGGTAATAAAATGGAATATTTATGCAAGGTGTTGGTGGAGTAACGTAGGGACAAACATATTGAAATATTTCGACTCTTTTTATCATAACGWCGCACGAAATTCGTGTATTACTAGTCAAAGCTCCAATAATGGCCCAAGAATTTATTACAAAGAAATTTCGTCAGTCTGAAAACGACAGATACACAACTATTGGCGTATTCAGGGGACTGAAAAAGCGGTAATTCCCCTCTTTGGTCCTGAAAATTTTTATTCATGTTATTAAAAAAATGTAAAATACATATCTGATTTGGTGGTAATTTTGTAAGTGAAAACAAAAGACTTGCTTTTAAATTTTCTAAACTTATTAAAATTAGGGTACGCGATTTTCTTAATGTAAATTTTAAAATACTGTCTGCTAAATCTAAAATACATCGCAAATGTATTCTTCTCTTTTATTTTCTTTTTTACAATTATTATCAGCGTAGTATCTTTAAAGGATATTTTTTTTCTTGACACCTTTAGGACAAAAGAGCAATAACGATGTTTAGTCACATGCGGGCTCCCATGTGGGATAAGGAAATCGGTTGAGAATTATATTGTATTCTTATCGTCGCGTTAAAAATACTTAACGTTAATGGAAGTATTTGTCGTTATCGGAATTGGGTGTTGGCAACATTGAAATTTGAAATTTGTGTCGTCTTCATTTCCTAATTCGAGTGTCAATTTCCCCGCAGACAGTCGAATCCCTCGCAGACAGTATCAATCTAGAGCGTCGTAATTAGCGTCGGTTAAACCGCAAAAATCGCGTCTCCGCAGGAGGGCGGTCTAGGTGCGAATGCGAATAGCGGAGAAGAATGCAATGTTGCAGTGTAAGTCGGGCGGACGTACGGACATGGCCGGTTTTTCTGATCAGAGTGTAGCAGCCATGATGGCAGGCTAAGTGCCACCGAGAGCAAGTACTGCTCAAATCGTGGTAGGCGGTAAACGCGGCAGGTCGACGCGCAAGTGTTCTGCACGCACTAAGTAAGCAGGCGGCTGTGGACCGATCGCGATTGTTTCAACAATTGCAACCGCTAGCTAGATTGCACTCCATTGTTGGCTGTTGTTATGCATTGTTGTTGCAGTTGAAATTTTTTTACAGTGCAGTGATTTTTTTAAAAATCGGTTGCGATTTTTTTACAATTTTTAGTTGTGGTACGTTTAGTGCAGTGGTTGATTTCTCGACAATTATTTCAGAAGACCGACAGCCGCTTAAATTTAAAAACACCAACAAATCGTGAGTCTTTAAACCAATCAATTTAAAATTGCGAGGCGCGCCAATTTAGTTCAAAAATTATTCGTCAATTTCTTTCGCGATATAATCTCACTCAAAATGAAGTAAACGAAACGATTTGCATCTGTGTTTGTGTAAAAATAATTCAAGAAAAACAAATTTTAATATTCTATTTTGGCACGCGGATGACACATTATATTTTCTATAAATACCAGAGGAATAGTTTGATAGTGAGACGAGAAATGTGGGTTTTCGTCGGAGTAAATTAGTGAGGGTGAAAAGAAAAAACCTGTAAGTAGATGCATGAAAAGCGTAGATTGACAGAGAGAGAAGAGTAGGGGTGTAAGCCCCCGTATCGTGGACGCTTTTAGAATTCCGTTTCGCTCCAGGAGTAATTCGTCAATGTTTGATCAATTAAATTGCATTAAACTGCGTATTGATTTTGCAATTATTGGGAACCAATCAGAAATGGACTTTTTTCTTGTACTTCTGTGTTGCGCACGAACGTAGTTTTTAACTCGCCGGTTTTTCTATTTTTGCGCATATCCCGAATTTTTTGCCATTGCGCCATTGTCCACTTACTAATTTTTAGTGCTGTATTGATTTTATTTATTTTAACGCTTCCGCTATGAGCGAGCTTTCGCGCTTTGCCTCTGTCTTCACCTCTCCAAAAAAGCCACATTTTCATCTCTTATCGTTCCACTCATTACCATTAATTAACCATTTCTATTTTTTGTAATTAGACCAACCTTGGCKATCTAATTACGTCCAGTCATAAACCGATGGCCAATCTTTCGGAAATTACATTTAAAATAATAATATTCATAACGCAAGAATTTATTACGACGTGTTTTCCAAAATAACTTGTTTTTATCGAAAACAATTAGCATCTAACGACAAGGTGTAGGTAAATTCTTCAAAGTGGGCGTTAARGTAATTGTTAATCCAACATTAAGCCTAGATGAGCACCGCGCTTTCTATTTTTAAAGGTTATTTCACCTTATAATTTATTGTAATTTGCAATATGATATCATTTACTTGAAATTTTAGCAGTCGATAAGATTATTCCTAACCAGTGATTCATGCTACAATAAACACACTTAAATCATTCCTTAATCGAGCTAAAATCCATCTCGCACGGATTAATTAAACAATTAAATCCGTTGAAACAATTCATTAGCACAAAGATAATTTTGTGGCGCCATCTACATAACTTGCAGAAGACTCATCTCTGCAACACCGCAGCTTTCTTCTCCACTCTAAAAATAGGCACTTGAGCACCCATTTACGAGACCAAAATGTGCCCAACGACCTTGATTTATTTCGTTTACAAACTTTTTAACCATTTACAGTTCATCTTCTAACAATTATTAATAGTAGCTCGGAGCTTTCGGAGCTAAAATCCAACCTCGAACTTTGCATACCGATAAAATCAATGGCAAAATCACCAACAAAAAACAGCTGTTCTCAATTCACCCAGTAATGGTTAGAGGCATCCTCAAGCTATAGCTCGACTCRCACCTGGTCATCCTAATAACGTTGAATAATAATATGTTAGCGAATTCGTTCTAAAATACCAGTTAAATCAAAGGATTGCTATGCACACGGAGATTAAATTTAATAAAGATGCACTGGCATAAAAATAACCAGCGGTATTTTTTAAGCAATTACGCACGATTAATGTTGGGACCAGTTGTTACACGCATTATGCATGTAAAATATTTTTAAATATCTTGGCATGAGTGCTGTCGAATAATCCACATGCATTCATTTAAAATTCGAACTTTCAGGTCCATTGTAAAAGTTTATTGATCAAAATTATTTAAAATGTTACAAGATCATCTTTACAACTTCACACATAAATAATTTTTCGGATTTTTCAACCTACAAACAACTTTTATGACTTTTATTAAAGTTACAAATCAAGTTTTAGATGATCTTATCATTTTTTGATGTTCTCCTGCTATCAAACACCGGCCCAGTTTACGTAACGATTTCTTCCTGAAATTCAAAAGTTATGGTAACCAAGAATAGTTCTCAGTTTCAAATCTTAGACCATAATGTTATAAAGACCCTGGACACGTTCTAAAATTACATTATTTTGTCAAAAGCAGTAGCTGTAGAATTCGAATGGAATTTAAATGGGTTTTAAAATCTTCTTTCATATTTTGCGCCAAAGCAATTTTAGATATCAACTCTATTTAAAAAATATTCAAAGGATTAAGAGTGTTAACAGCTCGTTAAAAAATCAGCCTGAAATAGTGAGTTCTTGAGATTTTTTATAGATATGTACTTATTACCACGATTACAGGGATCATGATCCGAAACTGTTGAATCAGCGCTCCAAAATCGTCGAAGGGCTTTACAAGAGACTTTAAGTAAATTGACATGTCCCTGAAGAATCCTTAATGTACACTTAGGCGTCTGCAAAATTTTCAGGAACAGTTTTAATTTCGGGTGCTTTGTTTAGATTAGAATTGAAATCAGGAGCCTAATCGTTTAATTAATTTTTGATTTCTTTGATTTTCTGTTAATAATTTTATAAGTTTATGTGCCTCCTAGATATAATATTTACAGAAAGTAAATACAGTACAATTTTAATTCGTCATTTATTTCAATCTTTCATTTCATTTTCATCCTCATTATATTAGATATTTTTCCTTTAAAAGTATTTGGTATTTGCGCTATTTGATATCGTTATTGCGGTTAATTGTTATTGTACTGAGCGGAAGTCCGGTTAGCTTAAGAACGATATTTAATCTAATTTTTAGGGTAGAGGATGCTGAATAATGCATGTTACATATCAAGTGTTGATCCTAATTGAAAATCCTACTGAGTGCACCAAGTTAATTTTTTTAATGAGCTCACTATTAATTTCGCTTCTTCAGTTCTCTAATTGGGTTTTTGTGGGTAGAAACATTAAAAAACTCATATTTCCTGAGATGTATTGTTAGTTTTTACGAGTTATTATCCAGCAATTAAGTGCCTAAACTGTAATGAACASAATGGTAATTAAAATATTTGTTTTGTGGCGCGTAAAAGTAAATTAAAATAATACTTTGGTAATAATTATGGTATTTCCACACGATAAATTCATAATTATAATCAATGTGTAATTGTTAATTTATAAATATTGCCAAATTGCGGAAAAAGTACGTAACTAAACAATTTAAAAAATGTGCCATTATCTTTAATTCTTTAACTCGTAATCAAGAATAATTACTCTAATTACCGAAATTTATTACATGTAAAAGTTCCTGGTTTTACACCGAAATTTGTGAATTTTTAAATCGCTTGGGATATGGATCAATAAAAACTGATTTTTTTTCAGTAATTTGTGATAGGTGTGGCGTAAACTAAATGCTTCAATAATTAAATGTCAGTGTCAAGAACATAAGGCAATAGAGCAGAACGTCGAGTCGAAAACTTCGTCTACTCGAATTAATCCTCTAAATAATTGTTATTCAACTTAACAATCTTTGAAATTTACATAAAAGTGACTTYTTTTACGTCATAATTCCTCCTTACTCAGATTAATTTTCGACTGTTAACACTGCTAACTGGAGGAAATTGTGCGATTTTTATTTAACATAAAAGTATGCAATCAATTAAACTAGTGTTGGCGTAACATCTTAAATTTTTGTTTTTTGATTTGTGAAAGGATAGCGTCATACATCCAATTAGAGTGCAATAAAATCTTGTCAATTACGGCATTTTCCGTTCTATTTAATTATTTTTCATTGGTTTATTTATTCTTTTGGAGAAATTGATTGGGTTTAATTTAAACAAAATTTTCGGTTTTACTTATTTCTTTCAAGAAAAAACTATATACTTATATTATCAAGAAAACACGAAAAAGAATTAAAAAGACAAGTACAAACTGCTTTGAAAAAACACACGCAAAATGAACTATAAAAAAAACAAAATTTGTATAAGTAAATATTATTAGTAGTTGAAGTAATACAAGTATAAAATAATGATCAGTACCTAGTATATTATAACTAAGGCTCGGATTATATGCACGAAAAATTCGTAAAATATGCACGTATTTTCACAAAAATATGCACAAAGTTGAGATAATTTTTATCCTCGAGTACACTAAACTTTGTATTTTCGGCATCTTGAACTGCACACGAAGAACACAAGAGAATAAATAAATTGGTTTTGCCTCAGACAAGCCAWTTTAATAACCTAGTAATTAAGCCTTTTTAAGAAATCTGTACTTTTCATATCACATCACTTTAAACAATTTTGCTAAAATTCATTTGCAGGCAACTACTTATCCGAATAGAAGGATTTATTCGTTTTATACCAGGTGAATCGAAAGTATAGAACCAAACG